TTGCCGAGATCCGACCACGTACCGTGCAAGTAACGTTGCACGCGCCCCGCCGTACGCACCCCTGCTTTTGAGCGCGCCGCGCGCCTCGTCGGTTCGAGAGTCAATGGTTCCAGTACCCTCTCCCTCTTCGTAGTGGCCAAGCAGGGAGGGAATATGGTTTCGTTGTGTCGACCTCGGGAGCGGAAGATTACGCACGATGGGGACAAAGGCGAGTTTGGGGAAGCAGTATCTAGGTCACAGCGCTCAATGGTTGAACAGGATGTAGCTGACGTTTTGGGTGTGGAACGGGTGGGAGAGGCCTTGGGCGCGCGTTGTTTTCTCGACACTTAGCCTCGTGTCGAGGTGGCAGCACATATTCGCCAAGAGGTCCAAAAGTCGCGTGAGGAGCTGGATCAACATGCCGTGCAGGAAAGACGGCGCTACGAAGATGAACGCGCAACTCTGACTCCCGTAGGGAACCTAGAAAATAACTCTAACTGCCTTGTCCCGAAGCGCCACCTTAGTTCCATCATCCCCACTGAAAATCGCATTGCATAACCATACGTGATAGCGAAGCCGGTAACAAGCACGAGCATGTTGCTCTGTAATCGAACTACGTTTCACCGAAATATCGTTTCATAGATACGCGATGATTCATCGCCAGAATGCTTCATCGACAGCACAAACTACCTTTTTTCTGTAAGGAGCTGCCTCACACTGTTGCCACGAAGCGGATAGTACGTGTAGGATACACCCGCGACGAAATGTCCCTACAACGCTAAATCCGCGTAACGACTGTCGATGGAACGGTAGTGTCGACGAACGAGAGTCCATGAAACATCTGTCCACAAAAAATGTTTTTTGGCGAAACGATAAAGACCCGGTTGCTCTGAATGACGCCAACTCTACACGCAAGAATAATGTCTTGAAGCTGCGATGTCGTGCTCGTTTGTACACTCAGAGAACCGGGCACTGCTACCGCGCACACATGCCACAAATACAAAAGCGAATAAACTCTGATATAAACAGGGAAAAAGGAAAGCACGTCCCCAGCTAGCAGGCCCCATGCCTCGCGAAACGCAGCATCCAACGAGTGCTGCGTGCATGTAAACGGCAGACTTACCTTTATCGGGCGCGCACATCTTGGTTTGTGACTGCAGCTACGTGCCAAGCATCGCTTCGTGAACACGATCCGCTTTGTCCAACCACCTTCTAAAAAAACAAAATAGCGCAATTGAACAAAGGCGATGTCACCCGCCAGCCGAAGCAAAAGTATGGCCGCCGAAGCACGCCGAGATGGAATGCAGGAGGTGAGGAGGCCAAGTCTCCTAGCAACACGAAGGCCAGATAACGCGCGAAACGCGATCGCTGTCGCGATAGGTTGTCAGTCGGATGACGTGTAACCAGTGACTGCTAATCAGGACGTACGCTCTACTCTATTACCGCGCGCGTTTTGTTTGTTTTCTTGCGCTCTCCTGATAGCACTCCCTCTCCCCTTTTTGAAAAAGGAAAAGGGGGGGGGGGGGGGTGTAATGGTGCACCTGGCAACACTCTCGCCTCGCCCGCCGATTCCTTTGGGAGAGGAGGATTCGCGTGATGGGAGTGCGATTACGCTTGCCGGGTGTCTCCAGTCGAAGGGGGGTGTATGGGTGCGCGATACACCCACATACACCCTTTTTTTCTGAGAGTGTGGCAAGGAGACGCCGTCCAAGCCGTCTCGTGTTCTCGACGGATTTCAGCTCTGGGCGGTCATTCGTGTGTGTGTGTGTAGGCGTTGTAAGAAGAGAATAGGGGAGAAAAGTGAGAGAGGGAGGCCAATCTTGTACGCGCACACGGCGGCACTCGCAGGGGATTCGAACAGCGGTGGTTGTTGATTGGCTGACCAGCCGCGCGGGCGCCAACGGTTACTGGGCCAAGATTTTAGCCAGGGTGGAGGTCCCTTCTGGCAGCTTGCGTAACTTCCGGTCTTGGAAATTCCACTACCCTCGAACCGCCGACTTGAAACAGTGCCCCAGCATCGTCGCGGACAGTTCGCGCTTCCGTCTGGTAGACGCTGGATTGCGTCTCAACTGTGTTTGACACGTGCACGTGCGGACACCTCCCAAGTAGAGCCGTAAATGGGGACTGTTTGGCCATTCGTTGGGAAGGAGACAAATGAGGAGGCGCCATTGGTCGAAAACGGGCTGGGCGTGTTCCTGGGCGTCTTCAGAAATTCGAATGTGGCCAACCAGAAGCCGGAAACTATACCCTGGTGATGGTCGCGAGAAACAAACTTGATAAGTGCGTCGGAGTAACTCTCGGTGACTGAAAGCATGGTACACGTGATGTTTCAATCACGGTCATCCAAATACATGGTGGAAGAGTGCGACTAGCGGAACGATCGACATAATCTGTACGCCAATCGCCGGGAATCTGCCGTCCGAGCGGTCCCACTCTGTCCGAGCGGTCCCACTCTGTCCGAGCAGAGTTCGAGCGGCGCATTCGTTTCTTACGTCTTTCTGCATGACCATGAACGAAACATCAGGTGCACCCTGTTTCCAAGCATAAACGGTTACTACATTTAACTCTTCCGCGCTCATTCGGGAGTTTTCGTAGACCGCGCTTTCCCCTCCGCTAAGCCCTCCGCAACGAAGAAGCCGCTACTGCGCCTGCGCGCCGATAGCCCTGGCTGTTGAGTTCCGGGTATCGTAGCGAGTAGCGGAGTGAGCTGCGGGACGGCAAAAACGGTCTACGAAAACTCCCTATTAAAACGACCAAAACTGTTTCTCGCTACCACCGCTAGGGGATTCTTTTCGGCTTCTGGCTGGTCAAGAGAGCATGTCAAGCCCTCTTGCCGAGTCTGGTGCACTTCCTGGCTCTGCCAGCGCCTCCCATTGAACAAACTCTCTGCATACACGCGGATCTGCTCCCTAGCCCAAACTCTATCGCATTTTTCGAGAATAGACCTATTGCTAAATTATCCAAGCATCAAGAAGCATGCAAGGAACGCAGTTACACACGCTGCGCGTGGTGGCGTTGGCAGTAGCATTTTTTAAAAGCAAAAATCTAAAACAAGTGGCAGTTCGCACGTGTGCAAACATATTTTTGTTATGATTTGTTTAAAGTCTTTAATGCAGTTAAGGCGAGCGAGCGCAGCGCATGTAACTACGTTCCGTGCGTGCTTCTTAATGCGTGGCTGCTTTAGCAATAGGTCTCTTCCTTTGACTCTGAGTCGTCTGTCTCGCACGTGCTTTCCTTCACGGTCAGAGCGCTCGCAGAAGCCCACGGCCGGTGCCTCCGCGCAGTGAGCGTCGTGTGGCTGCCGTATTCCGTTGCAGGGACGCAGGCGGCATGTGCCGCTGGCGTCTCCGGCGCGGCGGCGGCAGGTGCGGCTGTCGGGGCCTCGTGTCGCGCAATCGACACTCGGTTTATTGTACGCGCCTGTTGCTCCAGGCGACAAAGGGAGCGCACGGGCTGTCCCCCGTTGCGCCCAGCTGCACCCCGAGTCGCGTTGCGCGGGACTGAATGCCGTCTGCACGCATCGGGCGACGGACTGGGCCGCCTGTGGCCCCCCCTTAGGCTGCGGTGGAAGCTACGTTCTCGTTGGATCGGTCGTACGTAGGGCTTTCGACATGTGATCACGCTTCCGCTCATTTCGACGCGCAGAGAGTGGTGTGAGGTGATAAAAGGCAAGCGGTTGGTTGGTCGGCGAGCTTGTCGCTTCAACTACGCTGCCGGCCTAGCGGTGAAGGAAGAGACTGATGGCCATCGTGCGTGATCGGCATGAGCAGTAGAGATTTTTTTTTTTTTTTTTTTTTTTTTTATGACTTGGGGAAATTGCCTTAAATGGTTATACACGTGTCTCTAACCTAGAAAATGTTAATGCCGTTTTTTTATTTAAAGCTTTTTGGTTTGCTTTGCATTTTCGATTGGCAAAAATCATCATATTAATCATCGGTTAATAATATCACCTCGGAAATTGTGGTACCGTGTACATCTGGTCCCATCTTCGCGTACTGCCAAAAACAAAGATTTTTTTTTCCCGCATTTTTTTTTTCTTGGAAATGATGGTTGTTCTATGCAACACCATGCTATTTTCCTGTTAAGAATGGAGTATGACTTGAAATAATGCTGCTGAAAGGGTACAATAATAAATGCCAGTCTTTGGAACAGTTTTCTTACACCCTTAAGGATGTAAAATTTCTTAGCGCGTAGTGTCTCCATTCGGGACACCACGGTTTGGGGTGTTGGTAACACCGTGTGCGGGACAGCACCTTTCAATTTCTTTCTCCACGTGCGGTCCTCTCGAATGTTGCTCTGTTGCCATGTACGTACACCACACTCTAAAAAAGAAGAAAAAAAAAACACGCTTGTGAGTCTACTTTCCCGCACAACACTCGGAGAGCCAATCACCGCAGCTTACGGACACAGCTCAGCGAATGACGATGCCGAAACGTATGTTTAGACCAAAAAAACGCAGTCTGAGTTGTCACATTAAGCAATGCAAGCGTGACGTTCTCCATTGATTAATGTCACAACTCAGATTTCTTTCTTTCTTTTTTTTATGTAAACATATGTTTCGCCACCGTCGTTCGCTGAGCTGCCTCCGTAAGTTGCAGGGATTGGCTCTTCGAATGTTGTGCAAGAAAGGAGACGCACGGATTATTTTTAGAGTGCGGCTGCAGCAGCCTGTGAAGCAGGCTCTAGTTCCTGACATGGGTACGTGTCAGCATTGCAGCTGTCTTCCAGTACTTCCTGGGTCTCACTTCGCAGTGAAAGTTTGCAGCTTTGGCCTCCCTTTACGAAAATTAGCAACGAATTTCGTTAGATGACATTAAAAACTCAATTGAAACTTGCTGATAATTTTTGTTCCCCAAGCATTCTGACATCTGCTGTTCCTGGCCCATCCAGTGGTCCCACGTTGGTCTGGAACGAGCGTAACTTCTTTTCAAAGCTTATTTGGACCTCTCGACGAAACGCGAGTGCGAGACTATCCAGTGGAAGCTCATCTTTTTAATTCTCTGCTTTTCTCCTCCTTACAGTGCAGTACGCGGTCGAGTTCCGGACGCGGCTATATGGTGAGTGCATCGACCCTGTCTTCTTTGTTTCTTGCCTCGCTACCGCGATGTCGCACATCTTTTAACGTCCCGCTGCGCATTCGCGCGCGCGCGCGCACGCACACACACACACACACACACACACACACACACACACACACACACACACACACACACACACACACACACACACACACGCACGCACGCACGCACGCACGCACGCACGCACGCACGCACGCACGCACGCACGCACGCACGCACACGCACACGCACACGCACACGCACACGCACGCACACACACACACACAAAAGTGATTTTGAAGTTGATTAATTTATCTAACACCCTATTTTATTTCTTACACTGGCTTCGACGGCGCACTGTGGGATCCTGCTGTGACTTGAGCCGGGCTTGCTCAGCCGGCGTTGATGTGTCTTCAAGAAACGTGCATTTTTTACTGGCGGCGTTTTGGAAGTGACGCGTTGGGCAACCACTTGGAAACAGAGGCACCTTCGTAGGGTGCTGCTTCGCGGCTGGCGGTGGTCATAAAAAAGTACCCAACGAAAAAAAAAAAAAAAAAAAAAAAAAAAAAAGCTACTTGCGAAGTTGCTGCTGTAGGTCTAAAGTGATGCACGCTAAAACGCATCGACAACACTCTAAGAAAAGCCCATGCGTCTACTTTTCCGCACAACACTCGGAGAGCCAATCACCGCAATTTACGGAGGCAGCTTAGCAAATGACGATGCCGAAACATACGTTTAGACCAGGAAACGCAATACGTCACGCTTGCATTGCTTAATGTCACAACTCAGACCGCGTTTTTCGGTCTAAACATATTTCTCGGCATCCTCATTCTCTGAGCTGCCTCCTTGAGTAGCGGTGATTGGCTCCCCGAGTGTTGTGCGGGAAAGTAGACGCACGGGCTTTTTCTTAGAGTACTCCTGGCCGAGCATACGGTTTCTGGAATTGCCGCAGTTCGTTTATCGTATATAATACTTTAGATAAACTACGTGCGACGTTCATTTGCCAGATTTTAATGGGGGGGTCTTTTTTTCACGCAGTTGAAAAGAATAAGTGGTCTCGATTCTTGAATCCTTCAAGAAATCAGAAAAGTCGCGTGCAACCGAATTTTTCGGTCAACCACTATTTTTGGGTTTTCGCGCTAATTGCTATATTATTGAGTCAAGACACCACCGTGAAAATGTGTCGTTACAGAGTCACGCGTTTCTTCAGACGCACAAAGTGAAACGTAGAGCAGAGGACCGGACGGAGGGCGGTTAGACCAGAAACACCGAGAGTTCCCAGGGGTCACGTGGATCGTTTGACTCCCCGAGACATCACGTGCAATAGAGTTCTGTGTATGTTTATACAGCCTGGAACTTAGTCTGCCTCATCGAGCGAGTTGTCTCCCAGCTGTAGATGAGCAATTTAGCCAGTGCAGTACAACCGCTAGCCCGGGGTCTTTACCGTGCACCACGCAGTAGTGATACACGACCGCACGCCGGTGCGATACTCATCCAGATCGAAACGGGCTTCTTTTAAATTGGCGCTTGTTGGGTGTTTCGCTGATTGTCCAATTGCGGTTTCATGATTCACAGGCGTCTTATCACTTCTCAGATGTTCTGCGTCTTCATAGCACGTGACTGAAGGAAAGGGAGCCACACTGCGAGCCCGGTTCGGGAACGACCTTTCCTTGCGGAACAAATCAGAGCAAGATGGCTAATTTTTTTTTTTTTTTTTTTTTTTTTTTTTTTTTTGTGTCCGTTTTTTTTTTGTAAACAATCTAGGCGCGCACATTGACCGGCCAGTGACGTGGTGGGTTGAGTAAAGCGTAGATGCACGGAGTTCCGGTTTCCCACCACCACCTGAGGTTGAAGAACCGGAGCGACATAGGCGGGTTTAGCGGAGATGCCCTGTCCCCTGTCTCCGCGAGCTTGAAGCGAAAAATAGGGACTCTTACCGGAAGTTCTATAAACAGTAAACTACGGGTCTTTGCTGACGTCACGCAGTCCCGAGGCGTAGCCGCTGGGTAGGAAGCCGAAAGAACGACTGACGTTTTCCTTTGTGCGTTGGATGAACCAAGACTCAAAAAGCCGCTTTCGCCAATTCCTCTTCAAGGCACGGTGCTGCTCTCGAAGTCGACTGCGCAGCCTGCGTGAGTTCACTCTTTAGGGAATTTTCGTAGATCGTCTTCGCCGTCCCGCAAGGCCCTCCGCAACCCGCTACGATAGCGGGAACTCCACAGTCAAGGCTATCGGCGCGCAGGCGCAGTAGCAACTTCTTCGTTGCGGAACGCTTAGTGGAGGGGTCAGCGCGGTCTACGAAAACTCCCTTTTGTGTGGCGTTGCGGACGTCGTCTTGTTCTCGCGTCTGCCCCCGCCCTCCTCCTGGTCCGGAAGCGACGTCAGAGAGACCCACTTCCGGTGCCGAGCAATCGATGGAGTCTGGGGTTGGCGGCCGAACCGCATAAAAAACCCGAACGGGAAATTACGTGTGTCCGGGAGAGCGAGATTGAGAAATCCTGTGAGCAGGAACGAGGGAGAGAGAGAGAGAAAGAGATGGGGGGGGGGGGGGGGGGTGCAAAGAGAAAGAAAGAGAGACAAACTGCTGCAAGAAGGGGTAACCCGTGAAAGGGATTTTTAAGACCTTGTAAATCCGGCCATAATCTGGCGCCCGACGTGATCGATCAGACGAGTTCTCCCTCCGACGCTTAGCCCTCCCCCTTTCCACATCCGTGTCCACTCTCCTTCGGCCACTCGCTTCTTTCGATTCCTCCTGCTTACCAACTTTGTTTGTTTTTTTTTTTCGTCCCGTTGTTTTGCTTTCTTTCTTTCTTTAGGTCTAGCTCGACCTTTCCAGTTGCCACACAAAGTTCACAGTTTTTTTCCCAGTGGGCCGTTGTTTTCGCAGCAGCCGGTTGCGCTCACCGTGAAGGAAAGGGCTATTGCCCACTCGAGGCACCTCTCCCCGTGCATTCGGTGTCCTGCCCGAGCCTATAATTTGGCTTTGTTTCGATCCCTGTCGCGTCCCGGCGGCCCATTGCTGTCGCCCGCTTCTGATCGATTGCCGGGCGATGGGGCCCCGAGTGAGCGGTTCGCTTCCGCGTGCTCGCCTGGGGCTGGGCAGGAACGCTGGGAGCCCCCACCCTCGGGAACGAGGTGTGCCTAGGCGCCCCGGAGTCTGTTGCTACACCTCCGGGGTCGTGTTGGACGGATAATAATAGCTGGTTCGGGGACAGTTTATTTTATGGACCTCGTCCGGTGCACCTCGCGGGACAACCGCCGCGAGCAGCACTGACTCTTCACCGGCGTCATTCCGATAGTTGTTTGTTCCGAGCTTCGCACGAGCATCATCGTGCGAAGAGGCATCATCAGAAGAGATTCCTGATAGGTTTTAATCTTCGTACTGAAAAGTTGGCAGTCCTTTTTCGGATGCCAAGCCGAGCTGGGATCCAAGTATTCCCCGGCGCTGCTGGTGACGCAGCTGGAGGCAGATCGTGTCGACACGCAACGCGGAAGCGTGTTCTTGACAAAACGCGGCGACGCAGATGGACCGAGATGCGAAATGAGCTTGGCAGATGACCAACTGCTCTTTTCAAACGCTTTTCTTTCTTTCTTTTCTTGACGCCCAATGTTACGGCGATTACAGTAGAAAAACATTCCATGCTTTACATTTTAAAATATAAGACGAGGAAACCTGCCTGTTATCCAGCTCCCCCCCCCCCCCCCCCCCCCCCCCCCCCCCGGGCCACAAGCCGCGAATCCTTCTTCTTTAGGTCGATCCTGGGAGGATGCATGTTATCTCGGCGCCGATACCGCCGGGGTATAAGGGAAGCGATCGCCATTCGGAGCAGCGTCCGTTCGTTGCCCCCGCACGCCTGTTCATGTGCGGGCGCCCCCCGTGTTTGTCCTGACTCCGAGCCAAGACGCGAGTCGCGGTTCCTTCTGGCCCCAGCTGCGGCCGCTTTGTCAGCGCGTCGAGGCACTGTCTGTTTGGCCAGGCCTAAGCGCCGATCTCGAAAGAACGCCCGAGGATGCGCGGTGTTGTGATCAGGTAGCTATTCCCCATCCACTGTTTGATCTGGTGCCTCGGAGTCTCTCGCTACTCCATTGAGTTATGTGCAACGCCCTGTGGAAAACTAACGTAAAATCGTACGCGCTCGTCAGCACGAACGTCAGCAAAACTCTCAGCTCGCGCTAAATTTCCTCGGGGCCTATGATAGTCAACGATATGCGCATTCGACGCTGGTTCTTGTCTCATTTTGTAGAGATTTCAATCATTCGTGATTTAAGTTTGCGTAGTTTAGGCTATGCGAGCCGGGTGATTAGCTGGCCTCCATGCTTCCTAACGCCTCCATCGAGGAAGTTCCGCTCTATGCTTCTTCTCTACAAACCCCGTTACACGCAGGCATTGCATGACGCCGCACATCACCACGAGTTCCGAGCTTAGCGAGTCGCCTTTATACGTTAAAAAGAATACCGTACGGGGGCGCACAAAGTAACCAGAAGCAATACTGCCCAAGCACAGTTTGAACAGAGCATCCGGTCCCAGTGGCACCCACTGAGACGAAAGCAACCGTATAGAGCACCGCGACGGAATCCCTGAAACTGCAGGGTTGCTAATGGTCCGTGACAGATGAAAGGGGAAGCTCCTCCCACCTGACTTCCTCTTCAGCGTTCTGTCTGCTAAAGTGGGAAGAGGTGGGAGGAGTTTTCTCCGAACTCTTAAACTGTCACCGACTGTAGGCGGGCGACAGCACTAACGCATAAACGAAGTGCGCCACTCAGCCGCGCGAATTCTTTCGGCCGAAGCGGCAGTCGTCGTTTTCGGGGTAGCGGCGTTTCGCCGAGCCTGCTTGCGAAACAAACGAGAAAGCGTCGCGCGCTCCGGAGCGTGCCACGACGCGGCAGTGGCGCGACGGCGCGCCTCATTTCCAGTTGGCGGCCGCAACACGCTGCCAAGTGGGGCGCGAGGAATCCGCACGAGCGGCGCCCGGCGGACATTTAGCTCGTTACAGCTAATG